CCCAGAGAAGCTCCGCAGTCAGGTACCTCAAATCCCTCACGCTGACTGACAGCAACATGTGTGTGTGTGTGTGTGTGTGTGTGTTTACAAGCAACTCTGCTGTAAGATAGATACTGGAATGACTGCAATGCAAGGGAAATCATGCTTTAATGGAATAGCTAAGCCAAACATGAAAATTGTGTCATCATGTACTCCTCCTCATGTCATTCCAAACTTGCTTTCTTTAATGGAGCACAATAGAAGATGCTTTACAACAAAAGCACATGGTGACCTAGGGCTGCCAAATGGCAAAAAGGACCAAAAAGGACAATAAAACTACATTGCTATTGGGTGCTATTTTCATTGTAAATATACAAAATTCTCCAAATTTTACTGATAGCTTTGTCAATTGTAAACAATTGGTTATGCATAGATACTAAAATTCCACACCATTTATTCAATTTCATTGTATGGCAAGTAAATGACTGATAATAAAATTCTATACCATTTAGTTTAAAAATATATAATAAAATAATAAAATAAAACTATAAAATAAACTCCACTAAAAATAAAATAAAAATATTTAAAAGTGAATTTAGGCATTTATTAAAATTAGCTTTTAAAAATATTCAATGCTGCCCTATACAGATAAACACTATACAGATATATACAGATGCCCTATACACTAAACTAAACTAAACTAAACCAAAAAATAAAATAAAATAAAATAAAATATTGTGTGGTAACTGATATGCATAAAACTAAAAACTGATTATAAAACTGAAATTATTCAAAATTGTCATTAATTTAAATAAAATAAAATATAAATATCAGATGAAAAACTTAGAACTTAGAAATAACAACTGAAATGTTTAAGCACTAAAATTAGTCAAACTAAACCTGAAATCAAAATAAATTAAAGCTAAATAGAAATAGATAAAAAAATAAAATGACAAAAGTACATAACAAAATTACTAAAACAATTTTAAATAAAAATACAGAATTCAACTTTAAAACTAAAATTCACATTAATAAATACAATAATAGCTTATAAGTAATACTAAAATAAGTAACACCGCTAATATGATACAGATATAGCCTACTTAATAGTGCAGAAAGTCATAGATTTGGACATGAAAGTGGGTAAATGATGACAATTGTTTAACAAATGATGATCATTTTGATTTTGGGGTGAACTATTCCTTTAAATGCACCCGTGTGAGAGTGTGTAAACACTGTTATTAGTGACCTAAGGGCGTCTTCATGACCCATGTGATAATTAGACAACGAGACTGGAGCAGCCATAATGACCTGTCAATGCTCTCTTCCACATAAACACTCTCTCTTTCTCTCTCTATTTCATGAATCATTCCTGTTCCAGCTCATTTGAGCTAGGCTGAATAAATTAGCGCATGTTAAGGTAGGTTAATTAATACCATTCTCCCTACGGTCCAAATCTCTAATGTACACATACCCTTACACACACACACATATGCGCCAACACATGGGCATGAAGATGTCAGAAGCCATCAAATGTGCACTCTTTTGGAAAATAGAACATCAACCAGTCATGACAGATGCTGTACAAATGCACCCAAATCACACACACACAACTATTTTTAACACGTATGCACACACATAAACACTAAATTAAATGTTCAATGACCCTTAAAATCACTTTTCTCCTTTTTTCCATGTGGATGCTTGTTTGATGGTTTCTCTCGCACTCTTTTTTCATCTCGTAGCATATGTGCGTGTGTGTGTGTGTGTGTGCCTCTGACCTTGCATTTGAGGACTCATAGACTGGCACAGCCTGTCGATCGATTCGTCGGGCCTGTTGGAGCAACGATAAAGCCTGCAGCATGTGTGTGTGTGTGTGTGTCTGTGTGTATGAGTGTGAGTGCCACTGACACCTACGTTAAGGCTTAACAGAACACGGAAGCGCCCTGGATTCTTCCTGACGTCCACATACCAGAAAACTCACACTTGTTTGCCCATTAAAGAGCCAGTGGAAGGAGTTTGATTCTTATCACATAGACACAGTGTCTGCGAGACCTGAACTACTAATATTAGACACAAGACACACGCCACACCTTCACACACGCACTTTGCACGTCATAAAAACAAACACAAAAATATTACCTCAGGTTCCTAAGCACCAACAATCTTTTATCTCCTGTGTTTGAAATGCGGATCACATCATTATCTGGTTTTGAAAAGTATGAATACAATTTGACTGATAACTAACCCTGGTGAAAGAGCCATCATCTCTCTTTTTGGTCACATCCATTCTTTCTCTTCCAAAATTTCTGTTTCTTTATGTGAATAAAGGGCTCACACACCTTAGCCAATCAAATTCCTTGACTAGTCCATGATTTTTCTAGAAAAATTATATTATAGATATTGCTAGGAGAGATTTCCATACATAAGGTACCAATCATTGGAAATCATATATTTAAATAAAATACACTACTGTTCAAAAGTTTGTGGTAAGATATTTTTATGGAAATTATTACTTTTATTCAGCAAGGATAAAACTGTCATTAAAGATAGATAAAATGTTACAAAAGATTTCTATTTCAAATAAATAACATTTTTATATGTAACAAAGGAAAAAAATGTATCATGATTTCCACAAAAATATTAAGCAGCACATCTGTTTTCAACATTCATCATAAGAATTTTTCTTGAGCACCAAATCAGCATATTAGAATGATTTCTGAAGGATCATTTGCCACTGAAGATTGGAGGAATGCTGCTGATTAAGCTTTGCCATGACAGGAATAAATTACATTTCAAAATATTTAAGAATACAAAAGAGTTATTTTAAATTGTAATAATGTTTCACAATATTACAGTTATTATTGTATTTATGATCAAATAAATGAAGTCTTGGTGAGCATAAAAGACTTATTTCAAAAACAAAAATCTTACCGACCCCAAACTCTTGATCAGTAGTGTATATTCAAAAAATGATTCTTAATACACGTTTTTTTACTCTGCATAATTCATTTGTACACACCAGGGTTGTACTAACGTCCAATTTCATGAGCAAATCATTTCCTGATGGATAAAATTAAGCCCAGACTTACATTTTTTCCAGCTGCTGAATATCCTTTTTGGAACCATATCACATTATGGAATTAAAATGTTGGTTGCAAATGCAGTTTCAGGTTTTGTGACAACAAATATACTTTTTAATATACAAATGTGTCAAAAATGACCAAACAAAATTGAGTGTGCTTCAACTGAGGATTTAGGGACATCAAGCTAGAACGAACAAACATATATTCACTAGAACGTTCTATGACTTTTCCCTAACTTTTTATTACACCTCCATGACTTTGCAAGATCGGAAAATCTTTTCAAATTCACTTACTTTTCCAGGTATTCTATGACTGGGGGAATTCTGGCAATACACTCTTAAAAATAAAGTTGCTTCACGATGCCATAGAAGAACCTTTTTGTCCAAGTGGTTCCATAAAGAACCTTCAACATCTGAAGAACCTTTCTGTTTCACAAAAGGTTCTTTGTGGTGAAAGAAGGTTCTTCAGATTATAAAAAGGTAAGAAAGAGATGGTTCTTTAAAGAACCTTTGACTGAATGGTTCTTTGTGGAACCAAAAATGGTTCTTCTATGGCATCGCTTGAAGAACCTTTTGAAGCACCTTTATTTTTAAGAGTGTAGATGCTAAAAACACACCCATTGCGTGTTTTGGGTCTAAGCGTGTTAGGACATCACTTTCCTGTGTCAAATCTACTTTCTGACATGTTGATATTGACGGGCTTCCGTTTACGTTGGCCTCATTCCCTCTACGCTACTGTGCACTGTTTTAAAAACAACCCCCAGTAACACAACCCAACACAAGATGGTTCCAGTTGATAAAGTCACAATCAGCCAAATCCCAGCAGAAGATTGTGACTTCACTGAGAACCGACTAGCCTGACCTAAAAACAAACCCAATGTAAACGCAGTGATGAAAACCATCATGCCATCCCTTCTAACACTGATTAAAACAATAAACAAGGGCGGATGCTGAATGAACACACAAAGTGTAAGTCTATTATATACAGATAACCTTTTCACAATTAAAACTTGCTTGGCAAAATAATCGAAAGTTTTGATGTGTGTCAACAGACATGCTTTAATTCAAATCGCACTCACCGATGATGAAGTAGTCCTGATTGGTTTTAAATTCGTGACCCCACAGGTTGGGCGAGTACTCCTGAAACTTGATGGTGAAACGCATATCACTGCTGGGCTTATCGCAGGTGAGAAGCAGGTTGGGGGCTCCGGTCACTTCACACCTGTCTGCCTGATCCCGTGACGACACCAGGTACAGTTTATAGTACTCGTATTCGGTGGGGGACCGGGGACCTGGCGGCTCAGACGCTGGGCAAATGAGGTCCAGACGATCCCCGATTTGAGGGTACAGGACATAACCCTTATCATCGCTAAACCTGGAGAATGACAGAGAGGGAAAGAAAGAGAATTTAATGTCATGACATTAGAAACATACATTTTAAAAAATGGCACAGCTAAAAACCAATAAGTATTTTAAAACCAGAATACAAAAATTGTGTGAGGTAAAAAAAAAATTTTCCCCCACAAAATCTAATTAATAAAAGGTGTGTTGAGGCAAGTTGGAGCTAAACTCTGCAGGACACCGGCCCTCCAGGACTGAATTTGGACAGCCCTGCTCTAGTCTCATTCATAAATATGTCACACTACAAAAAAAAATATATATAGGCTGCAAATGGCTTGTCACATTGACTTTAATCAGTTTGTTTTCATTTAACCAGCAAAATGCACATCCAGTGTTTAAAACATGTTATACAATAAAAACGTTCATATTTTTAACTTTCTTTGTGGCAGAGCAAACCTGCAAAAATCTGTCAATTGTACGGATCAGCAAAGAGGGCACGGATGCATCATGGGATACGAATGACTGGCTTAATCTGCCACTATAACCTCTCGCTTCAGGACATTCAATGACAAAACCACACTTCTCATGAAAATTTCTGTGGGTATGCTGGCTGGCATTTACTGGCATTTACTGGCGCAGGTGTGGATCCAACCACACTCTACACTCTCGCTGTGTTTCTTTATTCAATAAATTACCTTCTACAAGTAGAAACTCATCCTCTTCTTTTACACTTCATTCATCTACTCTGCTCGTCTCTCTTCCTGTTTTTTCAGAGCCCTAATGAAAGTGCTGTCTTCCGCTGTGTAAATCATCTGAAGGTGCTGAGACTTCAAGGTTTTTGATGACTGAATTTCTAGAAATAGGATATTTTGTTCTTCTATCTTCAACAAGTGACTCTAATGAGAATGAATAGGCCGGTCTGGATCCAAATCCCACCCTGAAACGCTTGTTTCCAAAGGAAACCGTGTCAGATCAAAGCACAGCAGAGGACGTGTCTGGAGCTTCCAATTTCCAGGAGAATTCGGCTGTTGCGGAATCTCAGGGAGTTTCCTTTGAATTCTTTCTATGTAAACAAATGACTAAACGACTCACAGACGGTAATTACCATTTTATCATCATCTCTAAACAGCCAGCCACACCAACGGCTATTTACATGTAAACAAATTAAGCCAGTTGGGCTTTAGTTTTTTTTATGGGCTTCATGTTTCCAAGTGAAAAGAAATGCGGAAACACATTCACGTAATGATGGGTGGATCCATTCACAAATCACATACATTACCATAGCATGCTAAACTACGGCATGTTTATTAAAGCTAGTCGTTCTTGCTCATAAGAAACAAAAGCAGAATCGTGTGTGAGAAAAAAGGCTTTGTGTGTGTGTGTGGCATTCCTGTGGGAGAAGAGCTTCCTGTCCTTGTCACACAGGTTAGGAAGGTTATCAGTAGCTCTTACAGTGGAGAGAACAGACTCTCGACACACACTCAACACACACTTCACATACTACAATTAGACTGACCGATACCCGCACACATGTGACTTTAAAGGAATGTTTTTGAGTTCAACACAACTTCAGTATTTGTGGCATAGAAAACATCTGACTTGTCGCCCAGTCAATATTTGTATTTACAGTAACATACTGTACACTACCAGTCAACTTTAGGGTTTGTGAGATTTTTTGAAGCTGCTTTCTATTTTAATATAATTTAAAATGTACTTTATTTCTGTGATAGCGAAGCTGAATTGTCAACATCATTACTCCAGTGTCACATGATCCTTCAGAAATCATTAATTTCTTATTATAAACGTTGAAAACAGTTGTGCTTAGTATTCTAATAGGCTATAGCTTATTTGATGAACAGAAAGTTCAAAAGAGCAGCATTTATTTGAAATCAAAATCTTCTATAGCATTATAAATGTCTTTACAGTCATTTTTAAATAGTTCAATGCACAGCCTTACTGAATACATGTATTAATTTCTTTTAAAAAGAAATCTTACTGACCCCAAACTTTTGAATGGTGGTGTACTTACAATGAAAGTAAACCAGGCCATAGGGTTCCAGAGGGTTTTAAAACACAAATTTAAGGGCTGTATTTTTATTAAAGCACTTACATGAATTATTCAATAAAACATGTTATTTGAGCTGTAAAGTTGACTAAATGTCCCTTTTAAAGTGGGACTACTTTTCTAAGCGGATGAACTTCTGGTTTTACATTAGCAATGTAATTCTTGTAGTCTGTTGTAAATGGCCATTTATGGTGAATTCAGTTCATGTTAGAGTTGAGCACGTAATCAAGTTAAAATGACTAGTGGGAAACTCAGGACTTTCTTTAAGCTCAGACTTTTAGAGTTATCATGACGTGTAATTTCAAGAATCATGATGGAAGCAAATTGCCACTGATCACAATAATTGTGAATGCTGGCAGTAAAATCTGTGTATCTGTATTCATTTTGTGTGCTAAATTCAGTCAGGAAATATTATTCATTTTGCTCGTTTATTAGGAGACATACTTGTCACATCAAACTACATTTCCCATCATTCTCTACAGCTGAACTATAATGATAAAACACAGATAAAGCACACATAATATGCATACTTTGCTCTTCATTATGTTGCATTAGTGCTAAAAAGCTTCCTGGTTTTGTCAAAAAGTGAAAAAGAGAGAGAAAAATATGATAATGGTCCTGTTAGTCCATTTTGTTTCAACTAAAATGACTTGAATGTACATCATGTGGTACTGCAATTATCATTTCCAAACTCATAAGTAGGAACCTTCCAATGCAGCATTACATCACGTTCCTTATAACCACTGCACGTCAACACGTATAAAAGTCTTGTGGTTACTTTTAAAACCATGTGTATTTTAATGTTTATTATGTGCTTTGTTACTGCAACTGTAATTTTCGATGAAAAAACAATACAAAATGTTCTGTGGTAATTCTGTGTTGTCGGTAACAACTTTTCTTTAACATGCCTTTCAAACCAAAACAAAAGACAGACATGTCGTTGCTAAGTGTTTTTTCTTTTTAGGCAGACAATATATACACACTGGAAAAACTGATGAACAAAAGTATCAAAACATCCTGCAGATGCAAAAGACATTTTTTGCATACACATTCTGTTAGGTAGATTTTTGTCTGTTGGGTTATCGCAGACACCGTCACAGTAGACTTGACCTGAAGAACAGAAAGAACAGACAGAAAGACAGAGACAGAAAGAGAGAGAGAGAGAGAGAGAGAAAGAGAGAGAGAGGTGTTGCGGATCAGAGGAGAGAATGAAAGGGTTGAATGAGAGACAAAATAGCTTACGAAACCGAGAGGAGAAAAGTAAACAGAGACGAACAATGAGGGAGGGAAAAAACAGGTGGACACAGAGAAAGAAGCAAGCATGCAAGCGGAGGATGCAGGAGATAAGGGAGCCTCTCACATAGTAGTGGCTGTGTTGCTGACATGGTCACGCTGGTCTGCTCTAACCCACTGAACTCTCTGCTGAGACCCAGACACACAAGTAGAAGAATACTGTCCTTTATCACCACATTCACACCTTCTCTCTCTTTCCCTCCCTCTCACGCCCTCCGTTGTCAGCGTGACAGAACAGCATTTAGTCAAACTCACACTCGCTGCTAGCAAACACGCAAGTACACACTGCAAAAGCTAGATTGCTCACGTTAGAATCAAAGAAGCGGTCTATTAAGCACAATGCCAAGAAAGGCCATGTGTTAGGTGTTTTTACCTTGTTACAAGGGACAATCCAAGGCAAATTGCCTGAAAGTTCCCTAAATATTATATGAAACTAAAACTAAAACCATTAAAACATTTTTGTTACTTAAAATAGACTTTAACTGAAACAAATTAGTTGCAAAGGCAACATTCCTCATTTTCATTTAGTTCAAGTTGATGTACTGAAAAAGTAATAAAGTTATATAGAAAAAAATAAAAATGACAAACGCACCAACAAAGTTACTAAAAGTAATATTAAAATGAAAGCAAACTTTAAAAGTCAAAACATTCAAATTATTAATAAAAAATATAATAGTATCTCAATGATACTAAAATGACTAAATTATGGCAAATTGTTTATTCTTCTTGTTAGTAATGATAATAGTCGGAAGAAAAAATAATTAGTCTCATGATCCTAACTGTAGGCTGCTTATGGTTGTCAAGCAACACAGCAAGTTGCGTCCCAAATAAGAAGAAAGGACGTCTCAAATGGAAGTTCTTTAATGCATGAAAATATTCAATATACAGTGGGTACGGAAAGTATTCAGACCCCCTTAAATTTTTCACTCTTTGTTATATTGCAGCCATTTGCTAAAATCATTTAAGTTAATTTTTTTTCCTCATTAATGTACACACAGCACCCCATATTGACAGAATGCTCTTAGGAACCTTAAGTGCAGCAGAATTTTTTTTGTAACCTTGGCCAGATCTGTGCCTTGCCACAATTCTGTCTCTGAGCTCTTCAGGCAGTTCCTTTGACCTCATGATTCTCATTTGCTCTGACATGCACTGTGAGCTGTAAGGTCTTATATAGACAGGTGTGTGGCTTTCCTAATCAAGTCCAATCAGTATAATCAAACACAGCTGGACTCAAATGAAGGTGTAGAACCATCTCAAGGATGATCAGAAGAAATGGACAGCACCTGAGTTAAATATATGAGTGTCACAGCAAAGGGTCTGAATACTTAGGACCATGTGATATTTCAGTTTTTCTTTTTTAATAAATCTGCAAAAATGTCAACAATTCTGTGTTTTTCTGTCAATATGGGGTGCTGTGTGTACATTAATGAGGAAAAAAAATTAACTTAAATGATTTTAGCAAATGGCTGCAATATAACAAAGAGTGAAAAATTGAAGGGGGTCTGAATACTTTCCGTACCCACTGTATATATTTCCAGAAGGAAATGATGTTTCAAATGCATCTGATGTGTTGCGCCAACTTTAGCACTCCATTTTCACCAACCTTGCACTGGAGTATGCTACAGAATGGCACACAAGTATGCAAGTTTAACATAAACTGATGATGTAAACTGTGC